GTTTCTGCATCTATATTTGTATGACTGGTGCCCATGTGCAGGTCAGGTGAGATCGTCTCACCTGCCCTCTCATTGCATATGTTGTCAGAACCTTCTATTTCCATAGCCGTAGAATTTTCTCACAGAAATCGTTGGTTTTGAGCTGAGTTTGTTGATTTTCTGCCGCTGCTTCGTGTTCTATAATCTCTGACCAGTCCCAGGACGATCGAGCATGTTGTGTTTGAGTTGGAGTTAGGTTGGGAGGTGTTAACTTGCACGTTTGTACCTTCAGGTGTTGTCTTTTGAGGCAAAGTTGGTGATCTTTCGCCTTTACTACATGTAATGTGGACCTTCTTCATTTTCTTTGCGCCATCCTTATTTATTGTGTCTACTGAATGTCGTTTCCTTGGGACAAGGGCAGACGCCCTTGTTTCTGGAGTTGGTAAGTCTCTTCTCCTCCTGAGTCTTGCGATGGTGTTTTTCTAGAGCACCCGGCAGTTGTCTTCTGCAGAGTGAACGTCGATCTTTTCACTCATTTTATTTCTAATGATACTCATTTTAAAAAAATTTCTGAATTATTAGTCAGTAAGTATAATTATGTATAAAATTATCATTTGAAATACAACATTTCCGCCTAATGATACACGTCTAACGATATACACTTATAAATTAATAGATGGCAAGTATAAATTTAGTACCTTTTTTCTAAGATCATTATCGATAATTTTAATTTATGTCTAATAATACATTAACAAATATTTTGAATTATTAGTTAGTAAGTATATTTATTTCTAAAATTATTATTTAATAATTTTTTATGCCTAATGATCACGTTTTAACAAAAATATTTCTGAATTATTAGTGCGTAAATATATTTATTTTAAAAATTATCTTTTGATAAGTTTAAATTACGCATGCATCATATCTAATCATATATTTTAACAAATACTTTGTTAAAATTGTTAAAACTGTTAGCTGGCAAGTATAAATTTGTTACATGTATTTGATTACTTTAAATTATGCACTTCTATTTCTAATGACTTTCATATTTCTTATATAAATTTTAACAAATATTAGTTAGTGAGAATATTTATTTCTAAAATTATCATATCTTTTATGTACATATAATACACATTTTAACACGTATTTCTGATTTATTAGTCCGTAAGTATATTATTTCTAAAATAATCATTAGCTGTGTTCTTCATGCTTAATGATATAAATTATAATAAATATTTCCATCAAATTATTAGCTGGTAAATATAAATTTATTATGCTTGTTTCTTAAATGATTATTTTAAAGGTTTATATACATAATAATGCCACGTTTTAACAATTACTTTTGCTAAATTATTAGCCCGTAAGTTTAATTTAATAGTTTGAAATTTTGCTTTTTTTTATGTATAATGATACCCATTTTAATAAGTATTTTTGCTAAATTATTAGTCCGTAAGTATAAATTTATAAGTTTATTAAACTATTATTTGATAATTTTAAATTATGCTTCTTTATATCGATGACACATGTTTTAATAAATATTTTGATAAAATTATTAGTATGTAAGTGTAGATTTATTACATTTCATATCATCTTTGATAGTTTTAAATTATTCTTCGCCTATCTCTAATGATTTATATTTTAACAAATATTTATGATAAATTATTAGGTAGTAAGTATAAGCTTTATTATATTTTATATTTCTAAAAATTATTATTTGATAATTTAATAATACATATTTAAATAAATATTTTATTAAATCATTAGTGGGTAAGTTGAATATTATAATTTGATAGCTTTAAATTATACATCTTTAATGCTTAATTATACGCATTTTTAATGAATACTACGGCTAATTTATCAGCATGTAAGTTTTATTGAATTTATTTTCCTAAAGCATGATTTGAAATATTTTGCATCTTTTATATCTTTTATATCTAATTATGTATATTTCAACAAATATTTCGGTTAAATTATTAGGTAGTAAGTATAACCTTATTGTATATAATTTTAAATTATAAATCTTTTATACTGACGATACAAAAACGCTTATTTAATTCTTAGTTGGCAAGTATAAATTTGTTGTTATTTCATAAATTATTATTTTTAGACTTTTTAACTTAAGTATCTTTCGTATCTAATGACGCATATTTTAACAAATATTTTTGAATCATTAGTCCGTAAGTATAAGTTTATTGCATTTATTTCTAAAAATTATTATTGGAGTATGCCACTTTTATACATAATGGTACACATTTAACATTTGTTTTTCTGCTAAATTATCAGCCCGTAAGTATATTTATTTTCAATAAATTATATCTTTATATCTATCTATACTGATCAAATATTATTTTAAATTATTATTGGGTAAATATAAACAAGTTTTGTTATGGTTATTTCTAAAATTATACTAATTTTATCAATATTTTTAAATTATTAGCGGGTAAATATAAACAAATTTCATTATGTTTATTTCTAAAATTATTTTAAATTATATATCTTTAATAATATATATTTTAACAAAAGTTTTGCTAAATTATTAGCGCGTAAGTAAAAGCTTTATTACTTATTTCTAAAAATTTTGCATTTTAATATTTAATAATATACATTTAAACAAATCTTATATTAAATTATTAGTATGTAAGTATAAGTTATCTTTATCTCTAAATGTATTTTCAGCATATAATTTTAATTTATATATCTTTCATGTCTAATAATGATTTTAACAAATACTTTTGTTAATTTATTAGCTGGCAAGTATAAATTTATTTCCTAAATTATTATTTGATAATTTTAAATTATGTATATTTATATATTGTTATTCACATTTAACAAATATTGTTTCTATTAAATTATTAGTCCGTAAGTATAAACTTTATTAATTTTTTATAATTTTATAAATTATATATCTTTTATTTCTAATTATGCACATTTTAACAAAACTTTTGCTGAATAATTAGAACGTAAGTATAAGTCTTATTAAACTTATTTCTAATATTTTATCTTTGTTTAATTATAATCATTTTGTTTACTCATTTTATGAAATGCTTTTATTAATAAATTATTAGTGGGTAAATATAAATATATTCATTTATAAACATTTTTATATCTAACAAGTACATATTATTAAATACTTTGTTAATTTATTAGCACGTAAGTATTTATTAATAAATTTTTTAAATTTCGTATATTTATGTCTAATTTTCTGTTATATACTCATTTATCAAATACTTTTATTTATTAGTGGGTAAATATAATAAGTTTTATGATAATCATCATTAATAGTTTTATGTCTAATAATATATATTTTAACTTTCGACCAATCATTAAATTTAGTCTGTAAGTATAAGTTACTTAAATCATTTCATATTTTAAATTATGCATTTTTACATCTTAATAATTATTTTGACAAATATTTCTGTTAAATTGTTAGATGGCAAGTATAAATTCATCACGATTATTCCTAAAGCTATCATTTGATGGCTGTTACTTATACATCTTTAATAATGCATATTTAACAAATACTTTTGTTAAATTATTAGTCCGTAAGTATGAGTTTTATTAGTTGAATATAAATTCATTACAATTATTTTCAAAGTTATCATTTGATGGCTGTTATTTATACATTTTAAATAATACACATTTTATCAAATACTTTTGTTAAATTATTAGTCTGTAAGTATAAGTTTTATTAGTTGATAGTTTTGTACTATGCATTTTTTATTTCTAATATTATATATTTTAATATTTAGTCCCACGAATTAAATATCAAGACTATTATTCGCTTAACTATGATTAGCTCTAGATATACAGCTAAACTAGTTTTTAAGCTACAAATTATACTTTTATAAATTTAAACCTAACTGCATTTTTAACACTTTTTACTTTCTATAACATCATATATCTTTTAATATTTATCTTCAAATTATTTTATTTGGGTTTTTAGCATATAATTATCAAATGCATATTTTTACTTTCAAGTTATTTTCTGGGTTTTTAGTATATAATTATTTAAAGCATATTTTATTACTTTTTATTTTATTAAAATATTTTTATTAGTTTTTAGTGGAATTTGTAACTACAAATCAGTAAAGTATTTATTTATTAAAATAAATAAATAGTTATATAAAGATAATTTATATAAGCAGCATTATATATATTTTAATTTTGTTATTTGTTATCCACCTTGTAAATTAAATTTTTTAAATTTTTTAAATTTTTGAGTAATAAAATTTTTGACAATTTAAACTATCTAAATTAAAAATTAAAAGACTAGCTAAAAATTACTATAAATAATGATATTAAATACTATAAACTTAAAAAAATATCAAGGTTTAAAATTAATTCTACAAAATCAAAAATAAATAATAGTAATAAAAATAAAAAAACTACAAGTATTAGTTTTAGAATAGATAAAATTTGTTTAAATATAAATTAATTAAAAATATAAATACAAAATGCTTTAGTAGATTTATTTTAAAAATAAAAAGCTTTAAAAAAAGTAGTAAATTGCTTTAAAATTCTAAGTTAGTTAAGCAACAAAATATTACTCTTTATTTAAATAAATAAATAAAAAAATAAAGTACTTGATTTAAAAAAATATAAAAATAAAAAAAAACCAATTTTAACTTATTTTATAAAAAACAAAAAAACTACTTATATTAAAGCTTTTAGTTTTAATTCAAATATGCTATCTTTAGTAAAACAAGTTTATAAAATAAAATAATATTAGTGCAAAAAATACTTATTTTAAGAGATTAGTCAAGCTCTCAAACCTCTACAAACATGATCTAAGTTTAAGTTGGACTAAAGGCAAATTATTTAATTTGTTTTTGTAATCTTAGAAGATATAATTAAATATGAAGCTTTGTGGCAAAGTTCAAGTGCAAGTAAAATGCTAGAATAAGAATTTTTAGAAAAAGATCAAATATAAGAGTAGGCACTATATATAAATGTACTATTACAGAAAACTGTATCTATGAAGATTGCATAAGTAAGTTATTAAAACAAAGCAGTATTAATATCCTTGTATCTCTATATACAAGTAGTACTTAAAAGAATAGAAGAAAGCACCAAGTAACTATATAATGCTAAGATCTGAGATATCTGTAGTTAAGCTGTAGCAACAAAAACTGGTTTGAGATATGGGTTAGTAGTATTTGAGCAAAAATATAAAAAGAGATATTTACAATAAAATATCAACTCTGTCATATACTAAACTTAACTAGGTAGCAATTTTTGGTTTAAGGTATGTGTTTTTGCATATCCTAAATTAATATTAAAATACCTTAGAGAAAATAATAATATGCTATACCAAACTGAAAGATTATAAAAATCTTAATACAAAAGTTATCAATTTGAG